CTGTGCGACACACTCTTTTAATCATTATTACAGGAAAAGATCACAGCTTGTTTGCACACCAGGCAAAGTCGGCGTTCGAGAGGTAGCGTTGTAGATCTATTTACCGTGTTACTAATAAATCGTTCCCTTATAGGTAGTCATAAACTTGTTTGGTGGTCGAGCAGATAAAAACAAGATGGTCGGCGTGGTCCGCTGCCTTCCAACCGAAGAGGTGGCGTTGATGCATAGTGTTGACCCTAAAAACACATCAGCTTATGTGGATATTGAGTGAGCATAATTTTGCATTGAACTCTACTATGGTCAAAGTAGTTTTTGGAACTTCAGATTCACTGGTTTTGTTAGCTCATGTGAACACGGTTATGGGCGTAGTTCTCCTGATCGACAGTTCATATATGTAAATCAAAGGCCTGTGGATTATTCTAAGGTCAGTGGATGTTACTAAAATATCTCTTTAGTTGATGTAATGCAGTGCAGATTTCTTGAAAGTATGATATAAAAAACTCTGATTCCAGTCTGTCCCACTTTCCATCAGTAACATGTATTCAAAACAATCAAGTTTACCTATTATTTCCTAGATTTGTCGAGTCATCAATGAAGTTTACCAACAGTACAACCGATCTCAATATCCAACGCTAGTCTTATACATTACAGTACCTCCTGGTTAGTTTTGTATAGTTTTTCTAAACATAGGCACTACAGTCGGTTTTTATGAATGGCTTGGGTAAAGTACGATTTTAGAAGAGATTGACGTTAACGTCACTCCCGACAAGAGAATGATATTTTTCGAACGAGAAAAAGAACTACTAGCTCTTATTCGCTCTTCATTTTTGGCAACCTTTCACCCTCTTCTGGGTTCCTACACATCAGTCGCAAATAAAATCACCAGTAACGGTAAGGCTTCCTTCTTTTTCAGCTTTAGGATATTCAAGTTTGTACACGTTTTAGACAATGAAAAAACGATAAATGCGGTCGCATCTACACCCAAATCCAGTGGGCCGCTATCTGCCACCTCTGCATTTGTCTCTCTGATAAAATCTAACTCTACGAAAGTAAACTCGCCGACTTATACTCCTCCCCAACCGAAAAGGAGTAGAACAGAAGATCACAATAGTGTAAGATTTAGTTGCAAATGAAGTGTGCGAGTTACGTATGAGTCCTTTCAGAGCTTGTCAACAGGCTTGAAGACCCTCGAAGCATTTGCATTCAAACCTTTGTCAAGAGATGCCCTAGTTGAAGCAATTAAAACACCATCAACCAGTGGAATTGCATCAAACACAATTGCTGCGCCTTCAAGTGCTAATGAAGAAGATGTTACGCCATCAAATTCCTTCAGTACGATACCCAAAAAAGAACGGACGCCAAAGAAATATAGTATTTAAAGACTACATACATTCAGAAAGCTGTATGATCGCATAATGACTACTCTAGAAAACAACTTAAATGAACTGGCGCATCGTCAGCGGACGTTCAGTCCATCTCTGACGAGAAATCTATCACGTGGATTTGAAGCTGATATCGAGAAAGATCTTGCTGTAATGGAAAAGATGGAGAAAACAATGGACGAAGAGGAATCCCCGACAAATGGAGCGCAAGTGACGCCGAATAGTGCTCAAGAGGTAGTTTCGCGAAAACGTCAGCTATCTTCTCGAAATCATAAAATCATAACTGTGACGAATAATTTGATTTTTCACTAAGTATATATTTTTTTCACTTTTCTAGCAACCAATAGAAGATGTTACTCCTTCTCAATGCGTAGAACGCT